ATTTCTATATTCACTGCATGCTGTTGTGGTTTGGGTCCTTTCACTGCTTCACAGAGCAGCTGTGTCATCGACGCGTTTAAGATCATTATGTTGTTTCATAACGGCCTGATTAAAGTTCACGTCTATCCTGTGCAGCCACACACACACACACACACACACACACACACACACACACACACACACACACACACACACACACACCTCTACCTGCCTCCCTAATGGGAGGGTGAGTCAGGCCTCGGCCCACACTGACCCACTCCTCTTAAAACACTCCAGATTGGGTGTCTTAACTCTCGGTGTCTCGCTCTCAGACCCTCAGCCGTCAGAGCTGTGACAGCGGCGACAGCCATCCCGGCTCTCACGCCTCCCCGTCTGCTATCTAACATCCTCAGTGACGTCTCTCTGGGCACTTTCAACCTTCTTGAAGTGTATTTGAAGGATTTTTATTTCCATATACATGCATTACATTTGCATCTTGAGTCGGAAGCACGGAGGGTTTTGTCGCAGTTTAAAGGGGGTGATCATCCTACATCAAGTCACATGTCAGAGTAAAATGAATTCATAGGCACAGGAACAGAGATTAGCACATATTAACTGCAAGTCTCTGGCTCAGTTTGGAGCCCCTTGCTGAACATACAGTGCTTATGGAGGGGATGGTGGGCCATGAGTCAGATGTAATGGTGTTTTTATTACAGTATTCCATAACAGAGATTCAGTTGACAGAGATGTTAAAATAAAAGGCCACAGAGAGTTAATCAACCTGAATCTGTAAGTGAAGAAGGGAACAAATATACACTTTTTAAATGCCCCCCCCGTGGATTTCTTTACGCCCCTGGGCCAAAGCAACGAATAAGCTGACTCAATGGAGCTACACCTATTTTCAAAATTCATACTCCATGTTCATATATATTCACTAGTTATTCCTCTGGTCTAAGACGGCCCAAAAATATTATCAAACATGAATGAATCTCTTCCAACTCCCAAAAACCTCCCATTCATTGTCTGTAGAGCAGCTCCAGACTTCATACTCCATGACTTCCTTCTTTGGTTTCTGGCTTTGAGAGAGAGCAGCTATTGGAATTCTTCATTTCGGTGGCGTTACCCTTTAGCTGAAATAGGAAAAAGAAAGTAAATCCTACAAAACAGCCCCCCCTTCCCATGTTTGCACATGTTGACGATGTCCCTCCCTGTGGCCTTCAGCTGACCCAGAAGGAGTCTCTGGTGACGCTGCTGGACAACCGGACGTGGGCCAAACAGGGCATCGCCGAGGAGTTCGACTACATCGGACACTCCGACGCCTGGAAACACCCGCAGGTCAACGTCTTCGTCACCCTGGTCCTCTTCATCGTCATGAAGGTAGGACAGAACAACCCAGAGAAGTTGTGGGTTGTGCGTTGTGTGCAGATCCACTCGTACAGTACGCTGCAGGTGGCTGCAGTAGCATTAAAGATGAAGGAAGGTCATGAGGAGAGAATTGAACATGAAGGTTTTCTAAATGGGAGGGTTTCGCTCTTTAATGCTGGACCCGGGCTAATGGGACGGTGTTGGATCAGAGCCCATCTCCGCTCGTCTCTGGTAAAAGAACAAAAGGAGAGCGTGTTGAGTAAAAAGTTGGAAGGCGGCCTCACTGTGTTACAAAGTTAGGCCATTTAAAGTTCCTCTTTGATGAGATATCTCTGAGTGACGGAGCTGATGAGATTCATTTAAAATGCACTGTGTGTAGGAGCTTATATCTTCATACTCAGTGTTCCTCTTAATGCTGTAGGTCACTGAATGATGGGGCATTTTGGCTGTCACTATTTTGGTTTTTTGGACGTTGCCATCCAGAAGTGACACGAGAGGGCGGAGCCAAGTACAACCGAACGCTGAAAAATAACAAATTTTTAGGCGACCCAAAATGTTACAATTAACTTTCATGAAGTGAAAACACACACATGCTGTAAAGGGTTAAAGGTGTCTGCCGAAAACACGTCAGACTCCCAGACCGGGTAGCGACCTGTCAATCACAAGGTAGCCCCGCCCCTAAAGCATAATAAAAAGTCATTGTGATGGAAAGTATCGGAACCAAGCCGCTGCACTGTCGGCCTCAGGGGGAAAGAAAGGAGTTGTATATTTTCCCTTTCATGTAAAGCCTCCTCCTGTTTCTCTTTGGCTCTCAATAAGGAGAGAAGTCTGGAGCCCAGCTGAACTCTGTGTTTAGCAGAGTGCTGCTTGTGTTCTGATTAGATTGGCTTTTTCTTTATGGAACCGTTATTTATTCGGGCCGCTCTGTTCAGCTGAAATGAAATGTCCTTTTACAACAAGCAACAAGCAGAGGTCTGTAGGTGAGCACATGGGCAGCTGGCTGCAGGTTGTTTTTCCTAAACTCTAGCTGCTACTTTACTGGACATTACCGTAACACTTACCAGCTAAAGTGACACAGAAACTGAAGGTTAAAAGTTGGTGATTATCATAAACACATTTGCGAGTTCACCTAACAGTAGAGATACATTTTTTTTGAAATGGCAAAAAAGAGAAGAGAATCTGCGCAAATGAGCGTTCCTCATCTGCACATCAACTCATATTATCTTAAAGCGGGAAACAAACTATTCCAAACAGATGTAACGAATTAGTTTTATGCATTTATGATTAAAAACATATACAATGTTTTAAGCACAATTATCAGAACAATACAACTATTCAGGCTCCCTCTTGTGGCTGAAAGCTGAACTGCAGAAAATAAATGTTAAATAAAAGACTTTGGAGGTAATTCTGCTGATTTATTTAGCGAACTCTAATAAAACCTTTTGGGTCCCGACCCGAATTTTTAGGAACAGGTCGGCTGTGGCTCAGAGATGGAGCGGGCCGTCTTCCAATCAGAATATCGGCGGTTCGATCCCCGGCTATTTCAGTCCTTGTGTGAATGTTAGTTAGTCCTCACGGGCAGGTGGGACCCTGCATGGTATCTCTGTATGAATGGGTGTGAATACCACGTGTTGTTATGAATAACTCCGATAAGTTTAGCTGATCTACTGCCGGTACTGTGGTTAGAAACAACACCACGAGTATCCAACTCTGTCCGGATGCTCCAGTGTTAAAGTTGTGAGAGCACAGAAGTGAATGTGTGACACAAAGTGACTCACTGGCTCTCTGTCGTTGTTTCTGAGCAGAACAATACAGAACAGCTCTCTCAAGAAATGACTTATGTATAATACTGAATCCACTTTTCTTTTTGAAAACTTAGCCGACAGTCTCGTGTGTGTGTGTGTGTGTGTGTGTGTTTGCATTTTCTGTGCATGCACAGAGTAACCAAAGACAAATGCAGCTCATCCCACATGTGTGACGTTGAGGTGGCATGTGTACAGTAGGTCAGAAGGACAGAAACACACACACACACACACACACACACACACACACACACTTTTCCAACTTTAATCACCTACCTACAGAAATGTCATCGAGCTGCTCTCAGCATCTATCCGTGGGCACGCACTGACTCACGTCCTCTCTCTCACACACACACACACACACGCACACGCGCAGCATTCAAAGTGAGGCTGTAATGGCTCCGTCTAATTACAGCCTTTGGTTTTTCTTGGATTCAGCCTGGTGATTTTCAGAGGGGGAGATTGCTCTCCCTCCCTCTCCCTCTCGGGTAATGAACGGTTCTTTTATTTGGCAGCCATCTTGTCTCGTTGCGCCTCCTTTTCATGCAGAGACTTCTGGTAAGATCTCTCGTTCCAGCTGCTCAACGTTTGAGGTGCGCGGAAAGCGTCCGGTGTCAGTCAGGAAGTCCGGTCAGCAAATGAAGCAGCTATGAATACTTTAATTATGTGTTTTCTGATGCAGCACCAAGAGTGAAAGCCTGAAACGTTGCTCTCAGTAAAGTTCACTGCACCTGTTGTGAAGAAGAGTGTCATCTGAGCTACTGCTGAGAAAGTGTTTTGTGTATTTGTAGCTTTTTGGCCACACCTGAAAACACACACACACACACACACACACACACACACACACACA